CCTTCGGTTCCCTGGGCTCGTTAGCGGGGAGGATTAAAATTTGCTTTTGATTCTCGACGGGGCTGAAATTTCTTTTTACGGTATGTTCTCCAAAATGGCATTTTTTTCGTCTGGAATCGATGTATCCTGACGAGTTCGTGCGGTTTCAGTTGAAAAAACGATTGGGAAACGCTTCCTGGACAAAGTTATTAAGCTTTGGAAAGTACTTTCGCGAAAAATTGACCAAAATATTGGCCCTTTTGAAGGGGCTTGCTAGCTGAACACCCAATTTAAGCCTAAAGCAAGGCTGCCGTGCCACTCCAGGGGCCTAAGTCGCTTCGGGGTGGTGCGAATGAGGGTTTCGAAATCGGGGCGCCCGAGGAGCGCGCAGCGCCCAGGCGCCCCGATTTCGTAGATGAGCGACTGCCCATCCGAAGCGACGACCGCCTTGCCTGACAATTGTTGGAGGCCACAACTAACCTGTTATTTATTTATTGTCTGCTTAAAAATCACTTTTTTTGAAAATTGATAAATGCTTTTAGAGGATAAGTACATAAGCGCTGGCGGAGAGCGCACGCATTAGAATGCGGGGATAGGAGTGTTACGTACTTGCAGTCCTTGGCATAATAGATCTTGAAAGGTCATAACTATCTTATTTTAAATTTCCCAATTGTTTTTTCAACTGGAAACGCTTTATCTCATCGAGCTTTATCGTTTCCTGTTCCAAAATTGATGTTTTGTTTACATACCGTAAAGTGAATCCAGCGATTTCAAAAAGCCTATAACTTGTCCAGAAATTTCCCAATGTTCTTTCAACTGGAAACGCACAAACTCATCGAGCTGCACCGATTCCAGTTGAAAAATTCTACATTTTGGGACCATACCGTAAAATGTAATTTTCCCCTCGACGGTCCTATAACAAAAATAGACCCATTTTATACATTTTACAACGTTTTTAGAACTAAAAATTATATAAAAACAAAAGAGTGTAGCAGTCCAAAACCAGTGGCTCAAGGATGAGACAGTGGCGTACCGATGCGTTGGTCAGAGTTCCGAGATCGTAGAATGGGTCGTAGCATCGCACTTGTTCGTTACGGATTCGTTCTCGGCCATCCACTTCGATGACGTATGTTTTACGGTATGCGTACTCGACTTTGCTGAAAAGAAAAGATTGGAGTGAGAACGAGAGAGACAGAGAGAGAGAGAGAGTGAGAGAGAGAGAGAGAGATAGAGAGATAGTGAGCGCGGGATTTGACCTGAAACGGTAGCCGGTTTCATCGCCGTCAAAGGCAAAGCAGTTGAGCTGCCCCATGAACTCGTCGAAGCTCCGCTTGAGATGACAGATGTCATTTGGGCACATTTGCTCCTTGGCGCGCTTAAAAAAAAGGAGATACTTTTACATTTACAAATTTGCATACCTCTCCGCCGATCGGGTAGAAGAGCAGGAAGAGGAAGATGCAAATCCGCGCCGCGGTTGTCATCGAACGAACCGGAAGGTTGGGTGGGGCATCGTCCAAACCGAAGTGACTTTCGGATTTTTCGTAGCAGGGTGGAAATTATGCAAATTTCTTCGTTACATGCGTCAAGAATATGCAAATTTGAGGTGTCTTGATTTTCTTAGCTTTCCTTTTCGCTCGCTTTATTTTCGACCTCTCTCTCTCACGCTCTCTCACATGCTTAGCGCCTTATTTGACTCGATTGTCTCTGCAAGTGCGTTTCATTTTAGATCTAGGCATTAAGACAGTGCAAATCGAGCTCAATATTTTATTCACAAAGCGGAACCGCTAGCGATCCGACTGTAAAGACTGAAGATCACAATAGGATGCAAACCACGAAGCCATCTACCCAAAATTCGATCAGAAAGCAACACCAATACACATTAAAGGGACCAGGAAGGCAAAAATTGGCAGGGTAAAATTATTGCTGATACCTTTAAGAAAGTAATAAAGCTGTGACAGGGCATAAAGTGTCCAAAATTTCGATACAAAAGGCAAAACCAAAATTTACTTGTTAAAACTTGTGACAACGGCAAGGCATTATATTTTCGGACGATAAAACAAATCAGGAGGTTTTGCAGTTGATCAGTATCTCCTGAGATTAGTATGTAATTGATTTTGGTAAAATTATTTAACGTTGTAGAGAGATGGCACTTACCTTACACCTCCGCCTCCTCCATTCTTTTCAGTTACAGAGAAATCCACCCGAACTTTCATGCCGTCAATCGTAGCATCAGCCATTTCATCTCGAGCCTGAAGGATTTTTTGAGGCAACAGCATCTTTCGTTATGTATCTCGCGCGCTCTCTCTCTCTTTCTCTCTCTCTCTCGATCTCGTTCTCTCTCTCTCGCTCTCTCTCGCTCGATTGCCTACAACCTGCCTTCATAGCATACTTGGTCCTCGTGAAATAAATAAACCCAAAACCGCGGGATCGACCAGTGTCTCGGTTTTTGACAATGAGCACCTAAAGGAATCCATTATTTGTGTAGTGTCGCGATTTCCAAACCTGATCAATCGTGCCAAACTCCGAAAAGATGTTCTCCAAGTCCCTCTCATTAGTGTTCAAGCTCATCCCAAAAATTCCGATGCATCGATTGGGCTCCGGGCGATCGCGACCATCTCTGAAGCGCAAATAAACATATTAAACGAGAGAGTGAGAGAGAGAGAGAACGAGAGAGAGAACGAGAGATCGAGATATAGAGCGCGATAGAGAGAAAGAGCAAGCGTGAGAGAGCGAGCGAGAGAGCGGGCGGGAGAGGGTCACCTGCCTGTATCGCTGTCGGCCCATAACCCGTCCGCTGTAATATTCACGTTCTCCGCGTCCGCGTGGGAGTGGAGAGTAGGTACGGCTAAAAAATTATGAATTTGCAAGCTTCCCCCCTAGAAATAGCCCATAGCATGGTAGTATGATTTTTATCTACCTCCTAGACCTAGTGCGGCTCCTGGTACGCGACCGCTTCCGGTCCCTTCTCCCACGAGGCGGGCTTCTGGATGGAGATCGCTCGGAGATCCTGAAAATTCTTGAGTTGACACGCCTTTAAGGCAATCTTCAAGCCCAGGGAACCCAATGTGCAAGTAAATGGCGTGTATTAAAACCTTACCTCGCGCTCTTCTCACGTCTAAAATGGTATGATGTAAATACGAAAAACCCGAGAAAATCATAGTCTAAAAACTTACTTTCTCGGGACAGACTGTGAACGGCTACGCGTGCTTCGCGGCGACGATTCGACCTTAAAAACTTTGTTTGCAGTAAAATTCAATTCATTATCTTTTTCGGGTTATTCCATGGTCCTGCCATGTACACGTCAAATCAGGAAAACCGGTTAGTATCGTACTCAATTTTTGGATTGAAGAAAGTGATGTTAAAATCAAATCAAAACTTTCATAACTTTTGGCATTTAACATCCCTTTGAAATACGAAAGATTAAATATGAACCTATTCATAGTCATTCAGTCATTGCCTTGTTGCCAATTTAATTGAAAATTTCTCGATTCCCCGCTGCCATTTGGGTAAATTTTCGGATCCGTTTCTTTTCCACTTCCGCTTTCTGCAGCTTGACCTCACTTTTCGAGTTCTTTTATAATTCAACTTGTCGCAACTCTTGCGTGCATTTGGATTTTTTGAATATTGTTGGGATTTGAGAATTGCTGAAAATTATGCGGTTTTAAAACGTAGTTTAATTTGGTATAGCTCTATTTTCACCTACCTCATTTCCGGCTCCCATTTTCTTTGCCAACGCCTTCTCGATGAGGTTCAACAGAATCCCCTTGTTTTTCACAAGGAAATCGTCGACGTCTGGAAAGGGGTTGGTTTAAACTTAATACGCATATTTTAAGGCAAGGATTATAGCTAAAATTTCGTTCAAAAAGTGATATGAAACCCTAGGAGAGCAAGAGCTGGGATTGCTCTTGGTTTTATTAAAAAATCGAGCCTGAAGCATCCCATTTAGCTCCTCGTAAATTTCTGAAAATGCGCCATATGTCAACGGATCCTCAGCAGCTTATAACGGACGAAAGGAGGTCCAAGAAAACAGAAACCTCCCGCCAAAATAATTAACCGGAAAAACCCCAAAGTGTTTCCAGAAAAATTTCGAAATTCGAAAGAGCATTAAGATTATGCAATTAAATAGAAGCACTCGCATGAAAAGATTTATTGATTTCGCTAACCACACAAAAAACCGCCCAGCTTGCCCTTTTCAATATCATTTCCTTGTAACTGTAATTGATAATAGCCATTGCTCTAATTATTGAGATTTCTTGCCAAAGAAAAGAGAAATGCCATCTAACCCATCGGCAACAAAAAAATCGATGAATAAATTACCTTAAAGCACTGCAATTTCCTTGCCAGCGAGTCTGGCGATTCAAAATGTCCGTAGTCAATAAACGTAGCGAAAAGAATAAGTGGCAAGCGGTTTATCGTGTCCCTTCCACAAGTGGCTCCCATCTAGTGAACCCGCGGAGGGGTGACCGGGGGCATAGGAATGGGGCGAGAGCGCAACCGCCTGGCGAGGAAGAACAGGAAAAGACAACAAGCAGAAATGGTACCCCCGAAACTGTACGCCAAAAGAATAAACGAACGGGGGAAAGAGAACGGCGGGGTGGGCACGATATTTGAGCACGGAAGAGTGGCCAGCCTACGGGAGTTGAAGATCGCCTGCCCCAGGATTTTTAGGGCCGTGGCATTTCTGTTATCTATATTGTGCCCCATGGGGTGGAGGAATTGTCACGCGGCTCAAATTTGTTGCACGCAAAAAAAAATTTTGGTACCAGCGGATTACCTAAAAGGTACGAAAAAATCCAGTTTTTGTGTTTCAAAAAATCCCTCAAAAATGTCGAAGGCATGTGTCAATTTCCTGAGTCAGAGTAACAACCTGAAATTATATTTATCAAGCACCCACGAATTGTAAGTATTACCAGTAAAGTGAGAAAAAAGCGTGCGAAAAACGATGCAACGGACGCCGGTGCACCCTGGCCAAAAATGCCATTTTTGGGCGCACGATGCTCGTGCCGAATATAAATCAACCCCTATGCTTGGGATCTATCGTGGCGGGACCCCAAAAGTTGTGGGTTTCAAAAAGGCAAGCCTTTGCCAAGTTTCCGTATCGCTGCAAGTCGGTCCGGCCGCGATACTCATGTAATCCCAAGGATTTGTTGCTATCAGTGCCCTTGTCCAAGGCTTTATGTCAGTACCGTCCGCTTTGCATCCGTTACAAAATTCATTGAACTTTAGCTTTGCTATAAATTTTCACCAGAAATTTTGAGTGAGGTACTGAAACTGAGCCGAATTCAAATACTCCCAGATTCTCTCACTTTTCCGGGTGACCGTGGCGACACCAAGGGCTACGCGTGGCACGGAATCAAAATCTTAGCAAGGAAGAGGCGGCACTCGAAAAATACTATTTACGCGCTTTACAAAGTGTTGTCCACGAAAACCCGCGTCGGATGTTACTTTTGGCCGGGGGAGAACCTGAATCATTTTTAACGAAAATAGAGACACTTTACGGAGTGAATTGGAAGAGTGATTCATAAACAAGGACAAGTTCGAAGCCATGGTTGAAGCGGTTGCAAGATTTCCCACCGAGTTTATCCTTTTTTGGTGGTCGATCTTATTTAAAACCGGTAAAAAAAAGAAAGTAACTAACCTGGACTCCGATCCCGAACGGGCATCCCTGGCAATTGACTCGAAAAGCTGCAAATACAAGATATTGCCGATCCAGGCAGAAAAGTGCGCCGCTAAATAAAATGTACGATCAAAGAGAACACGAGAGACTCGCAATAAAAACGAAAAACGGTTTTGGAGATCGAATTGAGATAAAAATGCGGATTCCTGGTGGCAGCCAAAATATAGCCATTTTTCGAAGCATTCTTTCAAATTATTATGCCAAATCTCACTTGAAGAGAGCCTGCAATTAGCCTTTATGGGCTCAAAAACAACAGACCGTTTTCATATACCTTACAAGGAGACGTTTTTTGGTGTGAATGGAGTTCTGAGTGGGAAACTTGAGCCTATTTTGGTGCAGAAATTTTGCGCTGATTCCGAATATGTTTTTCCATCTCTGCTAAATAGCTCGATTTCCAAAAGGTATTGTTACCAATTTTAAGATCATTTTAGCCCAAATTTTCCTCTTAGGGACCATTATATTGCTTTTCTCCTTTAGCTAAGTTTTTCCAAAATAAATATTGTTACGGTATTCAGAAAAATTTTTCTGTATCGAATGAGCTATTTAACTCAAAATTGTTGAAAATCCAGAAAAATCGACGATATGTGGGGCTACGATTTTTTGTATGGGAAATGGTGAAAACAGCTCATTTCTCACCCTGTAAGCTTCATCGACGATCGGCAGTATCGCACTAATCAAACATACCATTCGAATCAGAAAAAAAATTCTCTACAAGATAGGCTATTTAAACAAAATTAAAACGTTATAACAAAAAAGTAGCACAGCATAGCAGATGACCACTCTGGGCCTAAAAATGATCTTAAAATAGCTGTAACTTTTTAAATCGAGCTATTTAGCAAAATTGGAAAACAGCACGGGAATCAGCGCAAAATTCTGCACAGAATAGGCCTGGTTTCAACTTAAAACTCCATTCACACTAAAAAACGTCTCCTTGTTAGATCCAAGATAGGAATGAAAACCAGTTAGGCTCTCTTCGGCAGCCCAGGGAAGTAGGGCAGAGAACTGGTGAGAAAGTTTTTGGAGCTGCTAATGAGGAAAGTAACAGGATGGTTTTTGAGGCCTTTGAAAGTCCAAATAAGCCCAAGATCAATGTTTTTCTAAAAACCCCCTTGGCGGGGAAAGCAAACGGTTTGGGGAATTTTATGGGGCTCCTTGGTGATTGGCGAAATCCGGGTCGCCTAGCGATAAAATTCGTAAAAAAGACACGAGATCTCGTAGAGCCGGAAAAACGTGAAAAACTTAGCTTTGAGATTAAAACTAGACCTTAATGCGCCTTAATGGATATAACTCGCAACAAGAGAAGCACAGATTTTTCGATCTATAGCTTTAAACATAATCCTACCCGAAGTATCTACGCTTTCCACTACTACAAAAACACCTGAAACGAGGCCAGGGGTCGATTACGCGCACACGAAACGGTCAAAAATCCGCCCGACAGCCGAATGGAGATGTCAAATCGACGTGCTCGTATCGGATCGGGCGGGGGATCTCGAGAGGGTTCTCCTCCTCACTCACTGACTGCTCCTCCTTTCTGCACAAAAAGACTACATAAAAAGTGGCATCAAGTCCCGTGCTGCTGCCCCTCCATGTTCTGACGGCCGGGAGGTGGGGGTGCAGGATTGCCAGCACAACCAAAACCAAAACCAGATCGCCTACGCAATTGCGAATATGTGGAAAGCAAATCAGTGTTAGAAACTTTAAAATGATCTAGAAATGCCAAGAGTATCGATTCGAGAAACTTTTTATCGGCTGGCTCGTTCAAAATCTGCTTCAAAATTTGCCTAACTTTTCAAATCTTTCCAATCAGACTTTCAATCAGAAAAACATAGGAAAGTTAGCAAAAACTGTTAGCGAGATTTTCGAGTTTGAGAGTTGCAGAACCCTTTTATCCAGGTCGAGCCAATTTCACAAAATCGATTCGAACAAGCAAGCCATGCAAATATTTGCTTTGCGAATTGGGCAATGCCCGAAATGGGAATTCCATTGCCAGATGGCTGGGGGAATTGAATCGAAATTTACATAAAAAAAATGAAAAACCTGACAATCTAAAAATTTTGAATTTTAATGAAATTTTGAAATGGCTAGAAACCGAGCATCGTAAACTCATTCAGATACGAGATAAGGGGATTCAGTACGGATTAAAAACGATATCCAATTTAAAAGTCGAGCCAGAACGTATAAATTGCAACAAATCGCAGACCGGGAATCCCCCCTCTCGGCGGGGTGGTCGGCTTAACCTTGGCTGATCACACTTGTCAACGTTCCTCCCGGGGGGCAGGAAACAGTGTCAGCTGTCGACACCCACCTCCAAAAAAAACGGCTGCTGAAACGAACATTTCCGCGGCCATCCGGATTTTTTAGCGGCCCCTCATTCATTTTGATGGGTCCCACAAGGGTTCGAAGGTCTAGGGACGTTGTGAAAGTTCGTGCAAATTTTGAGTTCGTCTTAAAAACTGCTGCGAAAAGTTATCTTGGTTGTGCGCCACTTTTTAAACCCAGAAAAAAATAGAAAACCAATGGCGACAGGCTTTTTTTGCTTTTAATAGTTATAGTCGAGACGCACCTAGAAGGGCATGAATCACAGTCGGACGTTTATCAAACCGATAAAAAAAACATACGACCAGTGACAGTATCACAATTCCGAAAGCACAGTAAGATAAGAAAGTCGTGAAAGGCAAATGCAAAGAAAGCAATAATAAAGCAATAAAGCATCAAAAAAGTAAAGCAAAGAAATCTCTCGTAAAAATCCTATTTGTCTTTTACTTCTTTGACTTCCAAGGTGTGCACTTCCGTGATCGTGTTGCCATCTTCCAGAACGTAGCCAAGCTTTTCGAGAATCTGGATCCCGGTGCCAGAACCTAAAAACATTTAGAATTTAAAAAAGGCCCAGAAAATTTCCCCTCACCTCGAGCCTTCTTCAGCAACAACTTTTCCAGCTCAAAAACGTGCTCGTCAACGAAGTGTGGGGCCTAGAAAATGAAAAATTTGACGTATTTACGTACTCCAAATCCAATCGAAAAAATCGAAAGCACACCTTTTCGTGTAGAACATGTGCAACCCTCAAGGCGTATTCCAGGTTAGGCCCGGAAGGTCCGTGGCATTCCATAATCTGCAATAAAAAATTTTCCAAACTCTGAAGGCACCTTTTTCAGAGCAAAGTTCTAACCGAATGTGAAATTCATCTGATTTAGGTACCTGAACAGCGACATCTTCAATCTCAGTGGGTCCCGCATGGAATTCGTTGTCATTTTGCGGGGAAATGTATACAGAAACCTTGAAAGGCGCTTCTCCAGAATCCGGATAAAAATCAACGTCAGCAATCTAGAAAACAATTGGTAAGTTCTTAAAGCTCTGCAAAACTTACCGAATATCCAGCCTTTTCCCGGTGATCCAAATATTCAATCGTTTCCTTGACTTTATCCTCCGGAACTTTGTAGGCCAGGCCCCAGCAGCTGCCCTAAAAAGCTACTAATATTTACGGCAAATTCTGCATATTTTTGGATGTTAATTATATCGATACTTACCTTCTCTGATGGTATCAACGTCACCGTTCTGCCCGGCTAAACGAATTTAATAGATTTTACCAAATACAAACAACCTTTTCCGGCGTCCCACGATGATCCGGCGAAAGTTGCCAAAACCTTCTTTCATAACCTTTCACGGTACCACCTAAAAACCGGATTTAAACATGGCCTCATAGCGGAAATATAAAAATAAAATTTTATATCGCTAAAATTCGACTTACCCTGCACTGCCTCGTACGGAAAATCTGTGTACCACATTAGCGACCCGTAACCGAATATCCACATTTTTTTGAAAGTATTGCAAAAACCAATAATAACTGCTCACAGGGCAAACCAGACGCTTTTCCAATTTCTGAAAGCGACAAGTGGCTCCCTAGGCTCTAAATCTTTGCAGCGCGATGACCCGACCGTGGGGTTTTGAGTAACGCCCCGTACTCGCCCCCCAACTAGGCTAAAATTACGGTGAAACTGCAATTCAAGGTTGATCTTGTTGTCCACGAAAATATTTATTGTATGGCAGAATGAACGGAAAGCTTCTCGAGTTTTTCCTTCGCATCCATAATCCGGTCATTGAACAATCGGATAACCGGAATGTATCCTTCGCATTGTTGTTCAATCCACTGCGACGTCTGCTTGATTTCATCGGCGATTCGGGTGCCTTTTTCATAAGTTTCTTGCTTTGAAATGGAAGCCAACGCCTGCTCTTCCATAGCTATCAGTGAAATAAAAGCATCACTCGTGTACAGGTGTAACCCGGCAAAATTGCCGGCATATCCATCGTAAAGGCTCTTCACTCTTTTCGAAGCCAGAACACCGAGCTTTTCCAATTCGATTTTCACCAAATCGGTGGTTACGTGCGTTTTGTGCCATTTCATCCCGCACGCTCCGCAAATTGTTTGTTGGCAATCATTGCATCGGAAGAACATTTCGATTTCCCACTGCATCGAGCACGTCTCGCATTCTCTCCATAAATTTACATTTTCGCCCTCTCGCTCACAAACACTTTCTTGGTTTAAACGTTCGACAATTTTTAGTTGCGCACGGAGCCACTGGGTATTATCAATTTTTTGCGGCATTGGAAATTCTTCAACCAGCTCCAGCGCGGTCGCAAGGTAGAGACCATAGAAGCACAGAACTTCGCTGCCGGGCATTGCCGGACTGCTAACTCCACAAAGTGGGCATGGTCGGTTTGGTTGAGACTTGCAACCAGCGCAGGCTCTATGACCGCACGCGTAGATGTACGAAAACTTTGAATGCCGACAGACATTGCAGCTAAGTGCTGGTAAGTTGATGGGCCTTATGGTCCAGGCGGTCTTCCCGGGCACTTCTACACCCCTCCGCGTCCTCTGCAGAAAGTTTGGCCATTCACTATCCTTTTCCCCTAAGCATCTCGTGCATCCCAAATATCCGCCTCCACTATAAAATGGCCAGCTGTCCTCATTAAGTCCATGGCCATAGCCACACCGCGGGCAGGTCATGAAAAACTTGAAAGACTCGTCTTTTTCCTCCATGCCCTTAAAAATTAATTAGAGTCTTGACATTATCATGGTGAGCAACGGTAAACGCCCAATCAAAGGTGTAAAGCTGATTCGGCTAGGTATTGGGTTGGAATGCAGGTTTGTGCAAAACGGCAAAGAAAACGGGAGCGGGAAGACGGGAACGGGAAAAAGGTAATGAACCAAAATTTTAAATGAATTAACGGAGGCACAAAAAAAAATTTCTATTCTACCCATGGCATGGAATCGAGTTGCTTTTTCTTTGCAACTTTCTACAGCTTGAGTGAAACGAAAACGCGTTAACGCTCAATCATTTAGTTCCGCCATCAAAATCCGCAAGCAAATTCGGTTGGGGGGGGGGGGAGGGGCATTAGCGTCATTTCTTGCGCGACATTGGCCTGAACTTCCGACTTATCGATTAGCCTTAAAATCTCCTGCCGATTTTGGGTCAATAGCGCAGAGTGAAGAAATAGTTAGCGGATCGTTTTCGGACTGGTGAGCAAGTAAAGCGCAGACAATTGATCCCGGTGTTAATGTAGCCAGCAAAATTTTTTGCGGTTTTCTACGCAAGAGATTGGAGCAGTCACTAAGTCAGCAGTAAATCAGTCTGGTGTGAATTTTTGAAACATAGGGAGGGCCGATCTGTTGAGCGGCAGTGATATGCCGGCCTCTTTCCTCTTTCGTGCAAAAAGCCCTGCAGTCCGTAAGTGCGGAGAAGCAAATACAGGGTGTCCCATAAAAAAGCACCCCTCCGGCATTTCGCCATATTACATCCGATCGTTCCCAAAATTCGACCAGAGGTGTATTGGACCCTAAATAACCACAATCCTGACGACAGCCTCATAACTATAATAGTTTTCGAGACAGAACAAAAGTAAACTTTATAATCCGTTTTTCATAAGGTTTTCGTCGGAATCGACCCTTTGAATATGAAGTGAAAACCAAGCCTTCTTTAGCTTTATAATTTTTCCTGGTAAAGATTAATCAAACCACCGGCTGATTTCACCAATTTTTGTAACCCAAGTCACCCCGATGTTAAGCAAATTTAGGGATTCGTATCCGGAAGTCGATGCAAATCGATGCAAAGTCCAAAAAGATAGCCGAAAAAACCGTTTAGAATTGCGGGAAAAAACAGTATTTCGGGTTTCGATAACTCGAAAACTACTGTAGCGATCGGGCTACAACTCAGGATTGTGGTTATTTATGGTTCGATACACCCTTGCGCAAAATATGAGACCGATCGGATGTAATACGGCGAAATACGGGCGGGGATGCTTTTTTTTGGGACACCCTTTATGGGTTATTCACGGCTGGGCTGGAAATAAAAGTTGTTGCAAATCGATGTTTAATGAACCCTAGAAGATGCTTTATGGAAAGTGCATATTGTGCCCGCTCGTATCCATAAAGTGAGGCTCATCTGGGTTAGGAATTGAGTAATAATCCATTTAAAAACCAGGGCAAAATCGAGAGCAAGCTTTTCCAGTTTCTCCTTGGCATCGATGAGCGTGTCGTTGAAGATTCGGATCACCGGAATATGTTTCTCACACTCCGCTTCAACCCTTTGGATGTTTTCTTGATTTCAAGCAACCACCTCCCTGCCTTTGCATAAAGCTTCCTGCGCTTGGCAACCAAGGTCAATGCTTTGCTTGCGGCCATGAGGGCTTTAAATGCTGACTGCGTGGATAGCTGTAGCCCAGAAAAATTACCGGCATATCCGTCGTAGAGCCCTTTGAGCTGGATCGCTGCCTTCTCACCCGTTTCCTCCAGTTCGATTTTTAGAAGTGCGGGGGTATCATGCGTTTTGTGGAAATTCACACAGCACGCCCCACATATCGTTTGATTGCAACCGTTGCAGCGGAAGAACATTTCGATGCGCCATTCCAGCGAGCACTTGTCACATTTTCTCTGCGGATCATTGTCGGGCTTATCCTCGTTGGCCTGGGATGGCGGATCTGACCGTACGTTTTCCTGCGTCAAACGATCAATCAAGAGCTGTTGTTCCCCCAGCAGCCTAGTGTTGTCTGCTTGCTGAAATCGGGGAAATTCGGCTACCAACGCCAGAGCCGCTACAAAATAGCGACGATAGAAGCTCATAATTTTGCTGTCAGCCGCTGCTGTCCCAACCGCTTTACAGAGCGCACAGTTTGGCTTCTCAACAGTCGGTTTGCATCCCCGACAGGCTCGATGGCCGCAAGCGAAAATGTGCTCAAATCCGGTTTGGTGGCAAAAATTACAGCCTAGGGCAGACAACATTGTGGGCTGTATACACAAATCATGACAATCCCCACACCTGAGATAGCTGTCGCCGTCGTAAAATGGCCATGTATCCTGCTGGATACCATACCCTTTCTCGCAGATTGGGCAAGCCATAAATAAAGCTCCCGCGTTCGCCATCGCCTGAAAATCCGGGTTAAATTTTCAAAAGATGAAGGCAAAGTTTCTGCGACATTAAAGGGTGTCCAAAAAATCCACCCACCCCCCCACCAAACTTGCTGGCCGCAGACGTGTCCGATTTTTACGATTTAGGTATCTATCGAAATCTCTCGCAAAGGCGAGTCCAGCACGTCTCTCCGATCCGCATTTTTTTTCGTTTTCTGAGGATGTACAAATATTTTGCGCTTTCTGATGTTTTTCTGAAGAAGGGGTTTTTCCCAAAAATCACATCCGGAGGCCTTCTATGCCTCTCTTGGAAGCCCAACGACCGCTTTCTGAAGGCCTTTTGCGAAAACTCAGATTGGATAGCGCCTAAATCGGTTAAAAAGCATGTTCTTTTTGCATGAAATCCTTTGTAATTCGAGCAAAAAAATTCCATAATTCCGAAAATCGGTGTGAGGCTTTTCTAGAGCTTTCGTTAGATACCGAAATCGTAAACATCGGCCACGTCTGTGGTCAGGTGGTGGGCGGGGGCGGGTAGCTTTTAGGAAAACCTGTATAACACAACAAAAAATAAAGCGCAGACTACTAAAATACTAAGCAGGAAAAATAATTGGACGTGTTCGCCATAGCATCCAACCATGGTAAGCTGATGGCCCCGATAAGCCACTCTCTTGCAGGACAGAATTTTTCACGGGGATGCGTGCCGAAAATCGATGTGATAACGGCCCCACAAATTTGATGCGCCAGAAAGATCACCGTTTTTCTGTTTTGCTTTCGATTTCTTGTGTTTTAAATTGAGAATCTTTGGTTTTTGCAATACAGGTTTTAGAATTTCGAGAAAAAGGTCAGCTGACGGACAGCATGCCATTCCATGCAAAATGGAGCAATTTTCTGACCTGTTACTTGAGAAAGATCTGTTTTTATGAATCTGGCGGTTGATAAATGAAGCTGGACGGTACCTGCGGTGCAATACGTTATTGTGAAAGGTGCTCTTTGAGTAACTGCGTATTGTCAGCTGCCTGCTCGCCGGGAACCGTCAACCAGCGCCAGGCCGCTTCGGAAATAACGGCAATAGAAGGCCAGAATTTCGCGGGCAATTAACATTACGCAGAAATTTCGGTACGCAGAAATCCATTAGACAGAAAACCGTTATACCGAAAACCCATTACGCGGAAAACCGTTACACAGAAAATCTATTACGCGGAAATCCATTGGCCGAAATCCATTAGACTGAAATTCATATACAGAAATCCCATTAGCACAGAAGATCACTACGTAGGAAAACTAATACGCAGAAATTCATATATAGAAAAAATATTTCGCAGAAATTTGTTACCCCAACTGTTCCACTCCATAAGATTCTCATATACAAAAAAGTTGTATCCGCGGTCGCTGAGGCTGTTTCGATCATTG